TGGGGAGCTCTGCCGTGCGCTCGCCCACGTCCGCCCTGCAGAGGAGCGGAGGTGGTGGGTGGGAACTTCGCCCAGGGACCAGGAGCAAGAGGGGCCCGTGCGACCCCCTGGCTCTCAGGTGATCTCGTTCTCTGTCCGCATTCCGGACACTGGCTCAAAACCACACTGGATTCACAACACACCGGTGGTTTTCCTAAGAAAAGAAACGAACACCCACACCGGCTGCCCTCTGAAGCTCCATGAGAACCACCCTCTTCCAACAGAGAACTTCATTTTAGGAGCACGGGAGCCGCTGCCTGCCCGCCGCCACCGACCCGGAGCCCGGCCGGCCTGCGGCTGAGCCCCGCACCGGGCACCAGGTGGCAGGCCCGGCACTGGGTCTCAGAGAAGCCGCTCGCCCGCCCGCCCGCCCGCCGCCCAGGGGCACCGCGCGGGTGCCTCCTCCATCTCGCCTGAGCTTTCTGGCTAAAAAGGGAGATGGGCCCCTCCCTCCCTCGTTCTCCCACAAACAACACGCGCCGACGTGCAGAAGCACAAGCAGCAGGAGGGCCAGGTCCAAAGGAGCGAAACCGCAGAGCCGGCCGCCGGTCTGCCCTGCGAGCCTCGCCTCCGGGACCGGTCCACGCGTCCAGTCTGCCGGCCAGTGCCACCTTCCCTCCCAGCTGCGGAGGGCGGGCCTCTTTCACGGGGACACGCATGGGCTGGCACCGCGCGCCGCATCCTGCTGAATCAAGGCCTCGGGCCGCGCGTTTTTACACGACACCCGTGACCGTGACGGCCGCCTCCGCCGGCTGTGGCCCCTCGCACCCGCTGTCGGACTGCTGGGCCAGGACTCCGGAGGGCTCTGCGCCCGCGGGCCGCCTTCTCCGCGGGCCTGGCAGCGTCCGGGGGACCCTATCCTCGCTGGTCGGCCCACACACTGTCCCCGGGGACCTGCTCGCCTCAGGCCCGGCCAGGCCAGGCCCGCCCCACGCGGCGGCCTCTCCTCAGAGCCGCGGCGGTCATGGCAGCACGCGCTGCCTGACGTGTGGACACGGGCGCTTCCTCCAGCTGGGCCTTTCACAACCTACGCCAACAAACCAGTTGGAAGGACACATGCGCTCTGTGTTGGGGGGCCGAACAAAAGTAGTATCGCGAAGATTTTAAAAAACGTCCAGTGTGTGCGCGAGCCACGGTATGTGTGAGCGGTGGTGTGCAAGCACGTGGTGGTGGGCGTGTGCCAGGCCGTGTGCCATGGTGCGGTGTTGGCAGCGTGTGAGCATCTTGGTGGCGTGTGCACGCACAGCTGCGTGTGCATGCTGCCACACATGCGTGTGTGTGTACTCGACCCTGAGGAATGATGGAAGGAGAGGCCACACTGCCCGCCTTGCCCTCTATCCCTGCGCCCCCGGCCCAGGCCTGATGCATCGCCACCGACGACCTCACGCAGAACCGAGAAGCCGCTGAGGGCGCCGCACTGGCCCATGGGGCCCACGGGCATCACGATGAAGCCGCGGTCATCTCAGACGCTGCCCCTTTCTGCTCCCACCACGTCAGAGTCCACGGCATGGCCATGGGCCACTCCGGCCAGTGTCCTCACACCACAGTGACACCTGCTCACAGAGAGCCCCAGCTCCTACGTCTACCGGCAGCACGGGCCCGAGACCCCCCAGGACCCAGGGCACAGCCTGACGTCACAGCAGGAAGGGGGAGCGTCTCCGAAGGCGCCAGCGCCCCCACCAGCGGTGCCCACGTTTCAGCATTGCTCCTGACTACTGTCCATGTGGAACTTCTCAACGGGGCAAACATTCAGGAGGGACTTGAAAGGCTTGCCGTGAACGACGGCCTTTCATCCCTCAAGGCGCCGCTCGCTGGCCTCGGCTGCCCTGAGCCCCCGCTGCCCGCGCCGCCGACCCAGCCCAGCCCCGGAGCCGGCCAGTGACGCTGGCCAGACGCTCCCCGTCTGTCGGCAGCTGGAGCCACGGGGCTGAGGGCTCTGGGCGGCTGTCCTCAGTCACCGAGACACGTCCATCCCTGCAGGGCCTCAAGCTCCGGGCCTGGCTTTCAACGGCCACCCCCACCCTCTCCGACAGACGGACAGACAGATGGACGGACAGACAGGGGCTGCTGCAGTCTTTCCGACTGATAACAGGAAAAATTGATGTGAGCTTCAGCCTCCTAAACATGAACTTTCAATCAAACGTCCGTGAACAGGAAGAAAAAAACCCCATAGGGGCTGAGGGAGACCAAGCAAGGTCCCCCCCCCGCCCCCCACCAGGACCCACTGCGGCGCAGACACACATGCCAGTGACACGGGGCCCCTGGGACAGGAGCTGACAGCCCCAGCTCCGGGGCCTCCAGCGGGGCCCATCGCCGCCTCGGCAGACCCCCGCCGGCCGCCCCCGGGTTCCCGGATGCGGCCCCGGGCAAGGTGCCCACGTTCAGACAATCCCAGTTTCTCTCCTTTGAACGTCCAGGACTCGGGCCGCACCGTGGTCTCATCACTGGAGGCAGACGCAGGGCCCGCAAAGGATGGGGGCATCGCTCGACCCCCTTGCTCCCAATAGGAAAAAGGGACCCAGAGGAGACCCCCGTCACCCCACACACCGCTCGCCCTCCGCGCGGCCGGGGCCCCCGTTTCCTTGCCAGCGTGGCTCTGCAACACTAACGCCGTTTCTGACCCTCGCACCGTCTGGTCTCTGGAAACGGTGAGGACAGTACGTGCCGGCCAGACTGCTGCCTGCGGGTTCGCCCCCACATCACCGTTCAAAGTGCCGCACACAGGAAGGGCGGGGCGGCCCGATCCGAGAGGGGACCCGGGGGGAAGCCACGGAACATGGCTCTCTCGGGCCGACGTCCTTTTTACTTGGAGAGCATTCCTCTGTTTCTTGGTGCTTCCCTCTTCCTCTCCGTTTTCATGCACTGGCAGCAATGCCGAGTGACTGCCTCTCCTGGCGGCCGTGCTGGCTTTCCTGTGGCGCCCGCAGAGCTTGTCCTCGGAGCGGCACCTCTGGCGGCGGGGGCTGGGGGCGCCCGTTCTGATGGGGCCCAGGGGGCTGTGGGAGGCAGGAAACAGCGCAGGTCTGCACTGAACCAAGGGCATGGCCCACACAGGCGGTGCCAGCCGTGCTAAGCAGCAGGGCCACCCCAGGTGGCTTTGGCGGGTGGGCCCCTGGCTGCACGTGGTCGGCTCAGCCCAGGGCCCTTCCTCGGAGCCCACCTGGGGGCCTGGAGGGCACCGTGGGAGGCGCTCTTGTGCTCGGGGCCACGCTCCGTGGACCCAGGAAGCGGCCTCTACGCACAGCACACGGGCATCGTGGGACGTCTGGAGCATCGCCGGGGTCCGACAGCGTCACGGCATCTGCAGCAGCCCCCATGGCCCACTGTGTGCCACGGGGCCGGCACAGAGCCCGCGTGAGAGTCCCACCTGCCGACCCTCTTCCGTCCATCCCCAGGCAGAGCGGCAGAGAGGCGGCCGGGCCTCCCAGGCGCAGCGAGCGCACTGCCATGGCGCCCTCTATTGGAAGCAGGCAGACAGAGCCCTCGTGTGCCGGCAGGGCGGCCGGGGCTGCTGCCCCTGAGGAGGGGCACCAGGCGGAGGCCGGTGGTCGTTGGTTGCGGGGAGCCGTCTGTTTGGGGGAACCCGCGAGCAGGATCCCGGGCCCCGCTGGTCTACCGCGTGCCCGGAACAGGGCCTGGCCCGCCCTTGCCGTGCGGGCCACAGGCTCGCCCACCTTGGGTCTCGGAGCCCGAGGGGCACGGGGCATGCACAGAGCCTCCGAGGTCCACGCAGCCCACGGGGGGCCGGCGCCTTCGCTCGCTTCAAAGCTGGAGTCCTGGGAGGGGCCTGGTCAGCAAGCTACGGGCTAACGCTCACCTCGCGGCATTGTTGAGGGAAAACGCCCAGAATTAACCTGGAGGATGCAGACGGGATGTAACCAACGGCAAACTGGTGGGGAGAGCCTACGGCCGCCTCACGCCACCACTGGCTCCTCCGTGGGTGCGTCCCCGCGAAACACGAAGTGCGCCGTGGCCGTGCGTGTGACTGGGCCGTGTTTGTGTCTCGGTTTCCTGCGACACACACAAACCGCCTGAGCCTCTCGGCTGTGGCTGACGCTGCCACAGGAGCCCTGGGCAGAAAGGCGGTTTCCGAGCGCACGGCCGGGCACAGTGTACGGCCCCCACACCGCGCACGCTGCTTCATGCACACGCGTCGCTCCAAGTGTCCCTCTGCTTCCCAGACGCAGTCGATGATGAGCCGAGGTGACGACATGGCAGCGGAGGGTCGGGTGGGGGGAGGGTGGTGGCGGCTGCCCCCTTGCCCTGGCGGCAGGAGCTGACCCACCTTTGAGTGTGACCTCCGACTCCTAGGCTCGACCGCAGGGCGTGGACAGAGCGTCTGCGCTGGGAGCCGAGGGGCGGTGAGGGGGGTGGGGCGACGCTTGTCCCCTCGTGAGGTGCCCTTTCAGCCGCGGCCACACCCACAGGGCGGCCGGTGCTTCCAAATCATTTTGACAGTTGGTCACTTTCTGTTCCATCGAACAGGTCAGAGCTGGCGCGCTGGGCACTAGCATTTCCGGCCATGGGGCAAGCAGAGCTACGACCCCTCCTGTGCCCACCACCCTGCGGCCGCCCCTGCTCCCCGAGGCCCGAGTGGGAGCTGGGGCCCCCGCCCTCTGCAGCCAGGGGGGAGGCGGGGGACAGGCTGGGCGGTCAGCCTCTGGGGGACGAACTGGGCCGCGGCGAGCTGTTCCCTGAGGGCACCGACGCCGCCTTTCCAGGGCGGCGGTCCTCCCGTTCCCAGCGCCCCCCACCCCAGTCTGAACAGACACTAGAACTGGGACCGCACAGTGCGAGCGGGGACACGCGCAAGCAGGACAGCCCCCTGCACGCGCTGCGCAGTGAAAGGCAGGGACGACAGAGGCAGCACAGGACACGCGTCGTGGCAGCTCCTTTAATGCGGCAGCGCCTCTGATGGGCCGTTACATTTCTGGTCGCCCACATTATTCCCCTCCAAACACTCAGGGTTGGCTGGTGGGCCGGGAGCTGCCGGTACGCCCTGGGGCCCGCGACGGGGCCCGCGACGGGGCCCGCGACAGGCCCCGGCCGGCCGGGAGCCCCCGCACGGGCTGCACCCCTGCCAGGCTGCCTTCGTGCGCCAGAAGCCACTCCTTCACGGCCAGGCCCCCGCCGTAGTTGCCCAGGGCTCCGCTGCTGCAGACCACTCGGTGGCACGGGATGAGGATGGGGACCTGGAAGACAGATGGGCGGCCCCATCAGCTTGGGCGCTTGGGGGCCTTTGGGCGCCAGCGCTGGCCCCTGAGCACCACGGTGCAGGCCCTGCCACGCGGGGGCTTGTCCACGCTGTCTCGGTGCCACTCCCCTGGGCCGCTGGGGTCCCTGCAGGGGCCTGGGGCATGGCTGGAGGGGACACAGTCCCCGAGGTGAACGTGTGGCCTCCGCCAGCCCGTCTCCGTGCACTGAGATTTGGGAGAAGAAACTTAGTTTTGCTTGGTAAGAGATTTACAAAGTGCACTCACAAAACGTAAACCACGTCCAAGTTACGGGGTGGCAAACAGCAGACCTTCCTCGGACCTTCCTGAGAAGCGGCGGCAGACCCCACGCCCAGGAGGCGCACGCAGGGCCCCAGCCACCCACCCGCCCCTCGGCCCTTCGCTGCGCCCTGCTCTGTGCACCACCCCCGACCCCGTGCGGCCGCCTGCCCCGGGTGTCCCTCGTGAGCCACAAGCGGGTCCTGCCAGGCCCTGCGGGGAGGTGTGCTCAGGCTCCGGGTCCTGCCAGCCGCCCCCGCTGCAGCGCCGCACAGAGGCGGCCTGCGCCCGACCCCGTGCTCCACCACCATGGTCAGCGAGCCGGGCACCGTGGCCGCCGCTGGCAGCTGCGTGTCTAGAGGAAGCGGCGGGGCACTGGCACCTGGGACCTCCTCTCACGGTGTCCGGGTGCCCTCTGCTCCCGGGGGGACCCCCGCCTCTGCCGCCCCTGGAGGCCCTTCGCTGAGAACAGAGCCCAGGAGCCGCGGCTGGGCACATGTGCGCCTTAGCTCAGCGCACAAGCCCGCCTGCCCGGACGGCCTGCCCGGGGCCCCAAGCTGCACCTGTCCCTGGGCGGTGGCCTGTCCTGTCCTGGACATGGCGCGCACTGCCGCCACTAGGGAGCGCGGGCCCCGGGCCCAGGGCGGCCCCTCGAGAGCGCGGGCGCGGGCGCGATCACCCTTGGCTCCCGGGACGTCCCCTGCCCAGGTCCACGCGGCTGCGGGCGGCCGAGAAGGGTTTGCACCGGCAGAGGCGGGGCTGGCCCTCCCGGCCCTGCCACTCCAGGGGACAGTGGGGCAGGGCCAGGGAGCCCGCTGAGGAATTTGGCTGGGAGGAGGGAACCTGCTCCGCAGCATCGAATCCTGGGCCGCTTCCCACTGGAAGTTGGGGTCACCACGGCAACACGTGCCTTCTGGGCCTGCGACTTCCTGTTCCGTGCAGTTTACCAGAGCGAGAGGCGGTAACCCTGCCAGGCCTGGGACCCGACACACCTTCGTGGAGGGAAACAGAAGTCTGAAGACTGGAGCGTCTACTTGGAGGAGGGGCTCTGCCGCACGCCAGGGCGCCGCGGCCACACGACTAGCGCCCTGGGGCACAGGCCCAGACGGCGGACGATTCCAGCTCCAGACGCAGGAGGAGGCTGGCATTGCGTGCACTTCGAATTTGCAAACATTTAGGCACTGGTTCGAGTTTCCCGCTTGACAGATTTCACAAGCGGCCTTTGCCTTCTTCCCCTTCCTCCCAACAAGCTGTGAAATGACACAAGGGTGTAACGTGGACTTGGCTCTCTGTATGGCACGCAGGTTAACAGGACGGCCGCGCGGCACGGGTGGCAGTTAACTGGCACTAAGCCACGGCCAGGCGTCGCTGTCCACGCATGGTGACGGGAGCAGGCGCCTTACCAAACACGCACCGTTTCGCCACCAGAAATGGGAGCACCCCGCGTCCATGAACGCTAGTGGCAGGTCTTGCACTGTTAGGATAACGGAGCTGCTACCACTGACTGGGGCCCCGAGGATGCTTTGCGGGAGCCGGGCCCCCTGCGCCCTCTCCCTTCAGTGGCTGCGCCGCCTAAAATGCGATTTTTATCCATAACCACGCAGCTCCTGCCGCAGCTGCCCTCGAACCTCCACGCTGTGAAATCTAATTCACCCGCCTCGCGGATCCATCACTTACACAGGCCCTCTCTCAAATGCTATAAAACTTCCAAACCCATAGATTTGTCTCCAACAAAAATAACACGAAAGGGCCTTTCAATCGATAGCGGATTCCCTCTGATTCCAGGGCCGCTGAATATTTCTCCGACTTCGCCTTTGTTCTTGCGGGTAGCAGCCCACAGGGGAAAGAGCTTGTTTTCACTCGCGGCCTCATCAATACCTAAATCCTGGTGAACAAGTGACACCGGGAAGCTGTAATCAATAGCTCCCTGCGCGTTTTTTTCTTCCGGTCAAATGGTTCAGCCCCACTGACAGCGCTGACACTCGGAACATGATGCTAAATCTTTATCAACAACCATCTGGGTGACTGGCAGCGCAGGCGCGGGGTCATTACGGCTCGCGGCCGTCTGTGAATAAACTAACTCCTCCGGAGTGCGCGGTGTTTAGAAGAAGGTGGGAAACTCTCTGGGCGCCATATCGATTGCCTTTGAACCGCATTAAGCAAATTCCGCCCGAGGATGAGCGGAAGGGGCTTGGTGGGGGAGGGCGAGTCGCGTCCTCGGTCCAGTCCACCAGGAAACGGACCGGCCTGCGCGCTGCGTCGGGGAGAGCGCCTCCCGGAAGGTGGACAAACCGCCTTCCCCAGGCCGGTGTGCCCCCTCAAGAACAACTCTGGAAAAATCAAGGGTGTGGGATGGGGTGAGCCTCCCACCCAGCAAATGCCACGTCCTGCCCCGGTGAGGGACAGACATGATGCCGAGCGTCTGTCACTGGGGCCGCCGGAGGGACAGACGCACCACGTTCCAGGTCCTGCGCCCCGCCCCGCCCACCCCCTGGGGCTTGGGAGGCGCAGCGCCCTCCCCAGCCTGAACAGAGAGTTTCAGGGTGCTGTCTCCACGACGCACGGCGTGCGGAACCAGCCGCCAAGCTGGACCTCGGAGCAGGACGTGGCCCCAGCACAGCAAGGGGAAGGGCGCGCGGGGGGCAACGATGCTCCACCACCTGCCCCAATGCGGGTGGGGACCCCACCCGCGCCCCTGCGGAGCTGGACGCTTCCTGTCCGCTGCCGCAGCACAGGCCGCCCGGGAAACACGCCCACATCAAATGACAGGGCCCCGCCCCACCGGACTTACGGGGTTGCTTCTCATGGCTCCGCCCACGGCCCGCGCGGCCCTGGGGCTGCCCGCCAGGGCCGCCAGCTGCTGGTAAGAAACCACCTCTCCGAACTTCACAGCCTTCAGCAGCTTCCACAGCACCTGCCTGGTGAACGAGTCTGGGAGGAGGAAGGCAAAAGCACGTTACTTGGACGGCGCCGACGCCGACGGCGGCCTGTCCCGTGACAGGAGTGCATCGAGCCAAACTAAGTGCCACCTTCGCCCCAAGCCCAGCCCCGATGCCGCGCCACCTGGCACAGGGAATGCGCAAGGAAGGGCGTCCCTGACCACACGCCACAGACACGCAGCCTGTTCCATCTTCCCTGTTCCGGCCGGACGCTCCCCCCACGCGCCGGCATTGGCAAACGAGCTTGCGGCCCCTCCCCGCGCACAGGAGGCCCTGCCGTCGAAGCCCTGCCTGCTGCCGGCTCACGCCACCTCGAGAGGAGACCCCGAAGGGAAGCAGCGGTGGGCTGGGCCGGGCTGGGCTGGGATGCTGCGCTGGTGTCCGCTCGGCCGACTCTGGACACCCGACCTCGGTGGCCAGGGGCCGGCGGGGACTCAGGGGCCGTGAGCAGGGCTGCAAATAAAACGACTCTACTCCCACGGTGATGGTGTAAGCACACTGAACTGCACGCGCTCTCCACGCCATTGCGGGACACGCAGGTGAAGACACGGAACGTCCCCTCCCGCGGCCCCGGGCTGAGAGGCCTTCTCCGGGTGGGGCCGGCCACAGGGATGCCGGGGCCCAGGGTGGTGGCTGGTCTGAATGGGGACACCTGTCACCTCTCCGAGGGGACGCGAGCGGCGGGGAGGATCCCTCCGGCAGGCGCGGCGTCCGGACAGCGCCCGGGACGGCACTAATTACACTCGATGCCAAGCTGGCAGGTGCCACTGGGTTCGTAGAGGAAACACACCCTTACATGTGCGTTAAATAATACAACTCGCTTCTTAGCTGAAGGGAACGATAATCACTTTACCGGAAAAAATGTGTTTAGTCTTTATTATAACATTAAGCAAATTAAACATCAGCATAATCCAGGTGATACGAGAAAAGGGTCATCAAAGAAATTAACTTTGTTGTTCATTAATTTACATGGATTAGGCGAGGGCAAAAGATAGCAAATGTGCTCCAGTTTTTTATGATATAATTTCAAACTGTACACCGTTTGTGGCAGGAGGGTGACTTTGGGGTTAATCAGACTGATTTGTCCTTTTAATTGCTTTCTATTCAAAGAAAATTCATTAGATAATGTTCTCTTCAAAATTCATGAATCAATTTAACTGAAGAAACCACATTAACGGCTCCGGGTTCATTAGCGCCGCGGTGGCGGCTGAGGGCCGCTGCGGGGGGGGGGGGGGGGGGCTCCTTCCGCAAACACACACTGTTTGCTGTGGTTTCTTCAGGAAGGGCTTTGAAACCAAACTGTTAATCGTCATTATGGCGGCTGTTGTCGTTACGCTAACTTCAAAAAGACACTCGAGAGAAGAGACAAGGCGGCAGGCGGGGCGAGAACGCGAAGGAGGGGGATCTCAGGGCCAGCACCCCGAGGAGGACGAGGGGGGCGGCGGGCGGGGGCAGGGGGCGGCGGCCGCGGAGCTCGGGGCTGCAGATGCGCCTGCTCCCGCGCCGGGCTTGGCGGGGACACACCAGGCCTCGCAGCAGAACAGCCTGGAGCACCCGCACCCATCGGCTACGAGGCGGGCGTGCGTGCAGGGTGTCGGCCGCCCAGAGCCAGCGGGGAGCCGGGCCGCCGCCACCCCCTCGCAGGGCACCTCCTCCCCGAGCGCCAACGGGCCCACAGCACGACAATCCACGTGTCCGTGCCGGAGCGCAGCGTTTCTCCATTGTTGGCACCACCATGAAATTCCGCTGGAGACCACCGCTCACCCCGCGCATCCCTGGCAGCGTATTACTAGCAAGAGCTCGAAGGCCGCGGGAGGCACCATCCAGCACTTGGGTTTATAAACGCATCTCAGAGCCCACGTTCGCCTGCAGGGGGCGAACGCGCCGGCCAGTGCAGGCGGCTCAGAGTCAGGGCCGCGGCCCCCACCCTGGGCAAACCGGATGCGGAGACTGGACCCGGTTCTTGGGGGGAAGGGCGACAGGGTCGGCTGTTCAGTGTCCTCTCATGTGGCGAAACCTTCTCCCAGAAACTGACGAGCAGAGAGAGGGATCCCTGAGGTGGAGGCGGCCACATTAGTTCTCAGCGGCTGGACCAGCACTTCCGGGGTCCAAAGGGCCACCGCTACAACATTCTCCTCGCTCCCCTCTGTCCCCCTCCGAAGAGCAGGCCATGAACCCACCGCTGTGTGGAGCCCGCCCGCTTCTGGGAGTCCCTCCCCTTCACCCTCTCCTCCCCACCCTTTCTCTGACTTGTTCCAGGGCGTGGCCCCTGCCGGTCCCGTTTGCACTGTGGGGTCAAGGCAGGCTCGGCTGGGGGCACCTCCGTCCTAAGGACGTGGCCATTTTCGCTTTGGTTTGGGTGCCCCTTGGAAGCCGCCGCTGGGACCAGCGGACCCTGCGCGTGTCGTCTTCCCAGGCCTCCCCCCGCCCGGACTGCACAGCGCCCGTGGGCAGCGAGGGCGCTCTGTGCCAGCACTGGCCTCCGAGAGACACTCTCCTGTGCCACAGACACCCTCTCTGGTGGGGCCCTGTTCACGCCACGCGTTGTGGCGGACCTCGGGGCGGCCTGCACCGCATGCTTGGGGCAGACACCCCATCCCGGGGCGAGGCCCGGGCAGCATGGAAACCACCACTCAACTGGGAGAAGAGAACCAAGACGCGCCAAGGCTGAGGTGGCAGGGACGCTGGAACCACCTGACTCCTCCCCCCAGCTTTTGGGGGTGTAACCGACGAATAAAATTGTAAGCGATTTCAGCTGTACGGTGTGATGGCTTCCTACGCCCGGACAACGTGAAAGGGTCTGGAATAAAAATGCGGTAAGAAGGGAGGACGCCCTTGAAGCGAAGGAGAAGACACGGCATTTCAAAGAAACGCGAGTTACAAAGAAGCATCAAAGGGAAAAGTCAGCCCTGAAAATACAACCGCTGCAGTTTAAAAACTGCGCCGCGTGAGCTTACAGCAGAAAGGAGATGCGACAGGGAAGAGTCGACGAAACTGGGACAAGTCAACAGGAACGATCCGATCCAAGAAACACACAGGAAAGTGTCAAAAACCAACAGAAACGCCCAAAAAGAGCCTTGGGGACATGTGGGGCAAGGCCAAAAGATCTAACATTGAAATTATTAGAGTTCCAGAAGAAGAGGAAAAGACAAAAAAAAAAAAAAAAAGGCAAAAGAATTTTTCCAAATTTAGCCAAAGATATCCAACTACAGGGGCAATAAGCCCAGCGAACTGCAAACAGGACGCAGCTAAGGAAATCCACTCCTCGATGTATCATGATCAAGCTGCTGAAACCTAAACACAAAGGAAAAAACCTCACAACTGGGGAAAACCAGTGCGTTACTCGCAGGGGCGTTCGTGGGGTTCTCATTAGAAGCCACCCAGGTCAGGAGGAAGTGGAACTGCGACTTCAACACGCTGAGAGAAAAAGCTGGCGACTCAGAATTCCATGTCCAGTTGGAAAAAATCCTCCACGAATGAAGTCACAATAAGGACACTTTCAGATGGAAACGAAGACTGTGCCCCTCCAGCAGGCCTGAGCGAACAGAGCGGCCGAGGCTCGGAGGGGGCTCGGAGCGTCAGGGTGAAGGCGGGACAGGAGGAACCGCGAGCGCCTCCCGCCGCGCTCTCGGACCGCGGCTGGCGGCTGCAAGGGCAACCCCGCTGCGGTCAGACGGGAGTCCCAGCGCGCGTGGGCGCAGAGCCCGTGTCGCTGTGGCTCCAGGGGCGGGTGTGAGGGGTCCGCCGTCCGCTTCTGAGCGGCGAGAGACCCGTGGAGCCCCCAGATCCACCAGTAGGAAAACCACAAAGGGAGACAACTGTAGTCAAAAACTAAAAGGTAAATGAAAATACTAAAAAAGTGTTAAAATAGCCCGAAGGAAGGAAGGAAAGGGGAAAAAGAAATGAAAAACAGGGAGAAGACAGAAAGCAAAATATTATATAATAAAATAAAATGTAGTAAATAAAATGAAACAAATGTTCCATTTATATCTAAATTTGATATTACTGATGACATTAAATATAAATGGTTTCTTTAGACCAATGAAAAGACAGAATGAATTTAAAAAATAACCCAAGTATGTACTTTCTAAAAAAAAAAACAACTCACTTCAAATAATAGATACAGGTAGGTTAAAAGTAAAATAACAGAAAAAGATACACCATGTAAACATTAATCGGAAAAAAGCTGGTATCAGGCGAGGGGGAGCTGAGAGCGGAGCCAATTTCCAGGTGAGAAGGAATGTCCGCAGCGCAGGGAGGGACGGCCCAGGAGGTGATGCGCCCACCACGCACGTTTGCGCACCGAGCAGCGGAGTTTCGCCTAAAGAAGCGAACGCTGACAAACACGGCGAGAGAATCAGACACACCCGCAACGGTGCCTGGTGACGGCGACCAGTCTCTCTCGGGAGGGGACAGAGCCGGCTGACGGAAAACCCAGGAGGTGCGGTGAACGCCGCTCTCGGCCACGTGGCTTTGCCGACATTCAGGCCACTGTGCCCGGGGACCGCGGGGCATTCATCTTTCCCCCGCGCCCACGGACCCCCGACCAAGACAGGCCGCCCCCGGGCCGTGAAACCAGAGCGGCCACCTGAAAATAACTGAGGGCACACGCGTCCCTTTCTCTGCGATAATGAAGTTAGACTAGACGTTGCTTTTCACAAGGGGACGGGAAAATCTCTAAACACCGGAACAGCGAGTACGCCGGGGGTCACCGAGGAAACTTGAGGGGCGCCAAAACATACAAGCTGCTAAGCGAAAGGGAGAACACAGCATTTCACCATTTGTGAGACACAATGATTAGAATAAAATTTACAGTGTTATAGTGCGTATTTGAGAAAAGAAAGTTCTCAATAATTTTGCTTCCAACTTAAGCAACCCCCCCCCAAAGAGGAAAATAAAACCAAATCAAGAAGGAGGAAGTAAATAAAGGTAATGGCAGAAATCAATGAAATTGAAACCAGAGAAATGATGAGTAAAATACACGAAACCGAA